AAATGAAACTGATGCCCTGGAAAACCACCATGCTCATCTGGGGGTTTCATGTCCTCAGTGACAAGAGTGCTTGCCTAGGCTGCAGAAAGCTGAGTTCAATCTCCAACATCACACACACAAAAACATTTCCTATATGTAAGTGGGGGTAGAGTACACTCTTGATTGGCAGGTTACTCAACCTTTCTTAGAACCTATACTTCTAACCAGTCTTTCCAGGATAGTGGTAAACTGCTGATATGTGGCTTTATGGAAGGCTGCTTAATTCATGTTTTAGATGCAAAGAAGCAGAGCTGCCATGGATTTAGATAAAATCAGCCCTCCTCAGGAGCTATAAGCCACTAAGTTAGCACAATATGGAGGTTTATCCTGGTCTCATGAAAAGTAACCAAACCAGCTAAGGGTACCAGTCTTCTACTTTTCACTGGCTGCTGCATCCCATGTCCCAGGCCCTTCATCTTAGTAAGCCCCTGAGCTCACCCACACCACAGGAGGTAATTCTGTGCCTTCACCCAGACCACCGGACCACAGATGACTGGATGGTAGGGTCAGCTGCAGAATCCCTACGTCCTCAGCTTCTGCACAGTCTCCAAAGCCATCAGTCTGCTGCAAGCCTCACCTGGAGTGCAAGATGTAGAGCTAGGTGGGAAGGTCTTGCTGCTGCGAAGGGCAGATTGGTTTCGAGGACAGCGAGGGCTCCGGGAGCTGATGGTCACCACCTTCCCTGGGGGAGTTGCTGACTGTTCCTCCTGAGCAGGCCTCCCAGAGGCATTTGTTTCTGGAGCCTACATAGAAATGGGTCAAAAAAAAAGGGGAAACTTACCAGCCACAGTACCGCACACACACATATAATCCCAGCATTACGAGAAGCTGAGGGAGGAGGATCACAAGCTCAACCTAGCCTAGACAAATACTTAGTGAAACCTTGCTTCAAAACTAAAAAGATCTGGGGATGTAGTCTAGTGTGAAGTCTGGTTCATTCTGTAGTACCTGGGCAGGAGGAGAGGTGCTATATTAGTACTTGAAAACCAGTTTTGACAAAGCATCCCAATAAAGAAGAATGAGAATTTAGAAGCTGTCATGGCCTCATTTCCATGACACCAAATATCAGGGTTCCACAACACCTGACCTTGGCACTGCCCAAAGTTACTCAGCAATTTGCCAATTTTAAAACAGCCATGTGCAGCTCACAGTTCTCCCAGGGGTTCGTCAACACAGGCTGGGAGCCACACCCTGCAGCCTACACTTCTAACCAGATCAAGCTGACAGTGAGGCTATGGACTTCAATCCACACTGGGTATTCAGATGAGATTCCTGCTTACCACTCTTCATAACACTGTGCCAACATGTCCTGCCAGGACTACTCAGTATTCCAATCTTCCACTGCCTCCCCTAAGGCATTTTAGCCATGTCACATCTCTCCATGAAAAGCAACACTTGAAATAGTCACAACTCAACAGCCCTACAACCTGGTCAGTTCAGGAGTCATCTCACACTGCTAAAAAGTGGTTACCATCACCACCATGCCTGGTCTTTGGGCTTGGTCATATTTCTTTGGTTCCTGTCGGGTAGAGCGTGTCCCACTCACCAGCTTGGGGTTCACTTCTGTTGAGATGAGCTTCAGGAGGCAGCTCAGCAAGCGCTGCTCATGAAGAGTGGTGGGTGGGGAGCCAGGGCGGGTGGCCTGGCCTTGCCCGCCAGGGGTCTGGCCATCAGGACCCAACACAGCCAGCCAGTCATATTCCAGCTGTAGCTTGCTTGGCTTGCCCATCATGAGGTAGACTTCGGCCAACGTAAGGCTTTCAGAGGTCTGCAGGCTCCAGCCCTCCTCACGTAGCTGCTGGGCCAATCGGCTGGCAGGAACTTCCTTTGGCGGCCTGGAAGTAGACTGTCCCTGAGGCAGCAGAGGCTCTGAGGGGCTCCCTTTCTCTGGAAGCTCCTCTGTAGGTGTGTCTGCTGGCTCTTTAGTGCAAACATCCAGCAGGAGTCCAGGGCCAGGGCCAAAATGAGGATCCAGGCCAGAGATGGCAAGGTTGGCAGCTTCCCTGCTACTGGGGGCAAGAGTCTCTGGGGAGGAAGCCCTGCCCAGAGGAGGCTGCTCACCCCTGGGCTGAGCATCCACACAACGGCACTGCTCAGGGACGATAAGGTCCTGACAGGACTTCAGGTAACGGGGCAAGGGATCAAGGAGTGACAGCTCGTCCTCTAGGTCTGGAAGCTGGCTGCAGATACAAGGGAGGGATCCTGGTTCCCGAGCAGGACCATCCCCACCCTCTGTAGGAAGCACTGCAGAGGTCTTCTCAAGATGCAGCAGGGAGTCCTGGTGTCCTGGGAGAGGCCTGTCAGGAGCATCTGGGCTGCTCAGACTAGGGATGGCCCCCTCCCCAGGGGCACTCTCAGGGGAACTCTCTCCAGAGCTCTGTGAAGTATCAATCGTAGGAGGGGGCCGTCCCCCACCCTTGCTCTCAGTGCTGCCCCTTGGGCACTTCACCTGGCCCCGAGCTGTGCCTTGCCCACTCTGGATACCCAGGATTTGGGCTGGGGGCAGCGAATGGGTGTCCTTGGCACTCTGCTTGCAGCGGCCACCCTCCTGCCAGTGCACTGTGCAGAAGGCCTTGGAGTGCACGACACGAGCCACACCAGGCAGTGGAGTCAGTGTGCAGTTTTCGCCTGGGAATAGGTGCAGTGTAACCTTCTCTTGTATCTGTGCAGGGTTCATGCCCTGCAGCTGCCCCTCTTCAAGGGTCTTCCGCTGGGTGCACTGTCAAGGAACAATCCCCACCATCTTTACACCTTTGTCAAACTAGTCAGAGACACTAAGCTATAGATCCATTCTTTATGGTAGAGCCTTTGATTGGACCAATACTCACTCTTGGCATCCCTGGGGCCCAGATGGGTGCCCTGATTCCTGACCTAGGGACTTTCTTTATGCCACTAATGCTGGCACATAGCCAGCCAAGAAAAGAAAGGAGTCTGGGATATGCCAAGGTCATGTCACACAATATGGTGGCAGGGAGATCTGGCCAAACCACATGAGCTATGAAGAGCAGCCTGTAGCTGAATGCTACCACTGTAAGGCTAAAGGCTGGTCAAAATCCAGGCTCCACAGTAATGACAGGAACTCAAAAGCAAGGCCCTATTCCAAAAACAACAAGGTAGAGTTTGGAAGCTTTGCTTTAGTCAGAAAAAAGATACAATTCGCACTTCATGGAGTGCCCACTTCTGCTTCAAGAATTCGATGAGGCTGGAAACCTTTCTATGCAGCTCCACAATCATCCTACAGAGAGACAAGAGGATGCTGTTACAAAGGGCTAGCAGCTCTCAACTACCCATGGCTGCAGTTGCTTTTAATTGAGGCTGTCCACACCAAGGGTATGTGTCAAAGATGTCGGGGCTTAGGCAGAGTGCAGCAGTCAGAGTTCGATACCCGGTATGTCATGCTGGCCCCACCCATGGGGCACTTGAGATGGAGATTGAGACTAGGCGTGGTGGTGCATGCCTGTAATCTCAGTACTTGGGAGGCTGAAAACAGGAGAATCACTACGAGTCCGATCTATGTAGTGAGACCCTATAGGCCCTGTCCTAAATACAGAAAGAAAAAAAGATGTCGGGCTTCAGAAGGAGTAGCAAGGAGGGGCTATCAACAGAACCTCAGCTGCTTTTCCTAAAAAATATTGCTATCTGTTAAAATTACAATAAATTCATAGGAAGCTCTAAGAAGTAACAGAGAAGGCAAAGCCTGGTGGTACATGCCTATAATCATAGCAAATCACAGGCTGAAGCAACGTGATTACCCAACTCCAGGCCAGTCAGAGCTAGTCTAACACTGTCTGAAAAATAAGAACAAAAAGCAGAGAGATCCATGTACCATTCATTAGCATAAGAACTCATTCAGGATGTGAATGTTGGTACCATCACCACCTATTTTCTTAATGTCTTATGAGTTCAAGGGCAGAGTGGCCAATTAATTGTAAGAAAATCAAACACACACAAGGTGGGTTGAAGCACTGATATGTGCTACATATAGAAAAACATCAAGAACAGTGTGTATGGTGATGGTAACCAGACACAGTGGATGTCTGTGTTTGATTCCACTGATACGGAATGTCTAGAAGAGACAAATCTACCTGAAAGAAAGTAGTCTGCCAGGGCTCAGGGAAAGGTGAGCATCAAGGATTGAATGCTAACAGCACAGTAAAAAAACAGGCGGAAATGACACAACACTGTAAATGCACTCAACACTGCTCAACTTTGTAAACTTTCAAGTGGCTGTGGTTCATTCCAGGCCACTTAAATTTTTCAACTAACAAACAAAAAAATGTGTAAAAGAATGATAGTGCGTTGTGCTTAAATTAGACAAATCTTTGGAGAGGTGGAGAAAGGGGAATGCATGGGTGCATGAGGGCTCTGTAGCCACTCAATTTTCTCAACATGAAATCATCTTATAGCTCCCATCTGCCATCCAAGACCCTACTTAAGAGTAGAACTGCAGCTCACTCTTAAGACAGTGCGACCTCCAGATCCTTACCTCACCAGGCAAAGTGCACATCTGTAATCCTAGCATTCAGGAGAGTGAGGTAGAAAAGTCACCAAGAGTTCAAGGCCAGCCTGAGCTTCATAGTGAGCTCTAGGCCAGTCTCAACCATATAGCAAGCATCTATGCTATGTTATGCTATTTTACCATATGGGGTGCCATTTTTCAACATAGCAAAAAACAAACAAAACAAAACAAAACAAAAAAAAAAACCCAAATGAAAAAAAAAAAAAAACCAAACCCAAATGAAGTTGTAAAACAGACCCTGCCTTTAGGTATTATCAGAGGAACTTTTACCAAAAGTTTCCTTATATGCAAACACAAATATCGTGGGGTATGTATCATCCACTCTCCACCTCAGTCTGCCCCGAGAGGCCAGTATCACCTGAGGCGTGGGTTCTGGGCAAGGCTCTGCACTCGGGCCCAGGCATGGTTGTTTCGTGGCTGTAGCTCTACAGGGACTTTCAAGGGCAGGCGCACTGGCTTCTGGTCCTCTTCATCACTCAGGCCTGCAAAAGGATTGAAACCATAAAAGTCTACCACAGATTAAGGGTGAGGCAGAAAGCAAAGTACTTCATCAAACCAACATGATAAAGAAGTGTGGGCAGACTGTCTTGTGACTAAACAGAAGGAAATTAAAGAACCTATAACCAAGTAGAAAATGTAGTCACTTGCGTATCTGCTAAGCCAAAGCATGGACCAGCCAAAGAGAGGCCATAAGACTCGGTCCCATGAGTTTTCAAATTTGAAGACTGTCCATTTACAGAACTGGATGAAGCACAACTAGGCACAAAGCAACTGCAATAGCTCAGGCTGTCCCCCAATGAAATAGGACAAAAACCACTATATGAGCTATAAGCCACACCAGCCTTTCCCTTAGTTACCTACCATCGGGATCACAAAGCTTCTTCAGGGCCCGGCACATGGGTGCTTTGATCCGCAGGTTTCTCCCTTTGTAACGTACTGTGGTAGCCCTGGGAAAAGAGTTTGGAAGAGATGCTGATACCTCTGAATGAATGGAAGACAGGTAAGGCCAGTGTGTTCAAGACAAATCAAGTGGAGCAGGAGAGCCCTACAAGTGCCAGTTCCAAGCAGGATTCCACACTGTCCCCAGATAATAACCCAGGATGGTAGGCAGAGGCAGCAGGCAGCAGTGTGCCTCTAGACATCTCATACTTATCTGACAGGGGGATGGCAGCTACTTACCAGAAATATGTCATCCTTTTTGCCTTCATAAGTTACGTAGTACAAGCTGCTGTCTCATCTCTTTACTACCATCACAGAGCTAAGCTCACAGCTGCTCTTCTTTCCACCTGCTCAATTTCCATGCCCACCTCCTATTTGGGGCCTCGGAACAAAAGCTATCAAACATCCCCTAGGTGACCTTCATGTGAGCTCTTGATCTATCTCTACATAACCTCAATGTGATCTCTTCATGCTCACTGCCATATCAATGTTGTACCCTATTCCTCTGGCAAAGACAGAGTACCAGCAGCCAGAGTGGGATGTCACAGGCTCATGCTCAGTGTCCTCAGGCTGGCCCCAAATCTGTTTACCCAAACTGCAGTGGATTACAACATGAATTATACTACATGACTACTGAAATGAGTATGAAAGCAATTAGAATGGTTCCTTCTAAAATAACACAGCTGGAATGCTTGCAAAATTCTCCATGAAGAGGCCATGAGGGATGAATATGGGTTAGTTCTTTTAGCCAGGTGTGGTGTCATATGCCTGTAACCCTAGCACTTGGGGTGCTGAGGCAGAACTATAAGTTTCAAGTCTGAAGCAGGCCTAAGGCACTTAGTAAGTTCAAGTACAGCCTGAACTACAAAGTGAGAAACAAAGTTTTTTTTTTTTTTTTGAGAAAGTTTATTGGTACATTTTAGGTATACAAGATTACATTTGTTACAGGGAATCTGCACCTGTACATATCCTTTTTTTTTTTTTTTTTTAACTTCAAAGATTGACTGATTGATTGACTTGGTATAGAGTCCTACTACACAACTTAGACTCAGTGATTCTTCTGTCCCAGCCTCCCTAGCACTGGGATTACAGATGTGTGCCATCATGCCTGGTTTCAGTGGCCAGCTTCACGCGGGGCCAGCACAACATGTACTACTGGAGATCAAACCTGGGTTCTTGCATTTGCCAGGCAGGTGCTTAGACTGCTGAGCCATCTCCCTGGCCCTGTACATGATACATTTTTTTTAATCCCCATTTCCCTGTCCTCCCTTTAACCCCCATACTACTTTTTCCTTTTTTCATTATCCCCCACCTCAGTTCCCTTTCCCATTTGGATATTTTCTTCCTATTTCACAATATCTATTATACATATTGGTCTTTATTTACACTTCACTTCCAATTTCTCACAGCAGAGAAACAATGTAGTATTTACATGTGTGTCCAAATTATTTCACATAAGAATATGGCCTCAAGGTACATGCATTTACCTAAAAAATGTTTCAAGCTTATCCATCTCTTTTTTTTTGGTGGGGGGGGGGTGGTGGCAGAACCAGAGATTGAACTCAGGCCCTTGCACTTGCCAGGGAAGCGCTTATTCCATTGAGCCCCAAACTTATCCATCTTTATGGAAGAGTAGTACTCCATCGTTTTTTGGTTTCTTTTTTTTTTTTTCTTCTTCTTTTCACTGCATTGTATTAAAAACCCACATCTTCTTTATCCTACCATCAGCTAACAGGCAGTTGGGCTGTTTCCAAGATGTAGTTATTACAAATTGTGCCACTATAAGCATAGGTGTGCATCTATTGCTGTAATATGATGATTTAAATTCTTTCAGGAAGATACCAAAAAGAGGAATAGCTGGGCGCATTGGAACCTCTAGTCCTAGCTTTCTGAGGAATTTCCACAGTGGTTACACCATTCTACACTGCCACCAACAATGCAAAAGGGTTTCCCCATAGCCCCTCCAAAATTTATCACTGATTTCTCGAGTAAGATGGAATCTCAGTGTTATTTTAATTTGCATTTCTCAAATTACCAATGATACTGAACATTTTTTCATATATATATTTGCCATTTCTACTTCTTCATCTAAGACGTGTCTATTCATTCCAAGTTTCCATTTTTGGGTTGGGTCTTTAAATGGGGGGGGTCTGATTTTTTTTGAGTTCTTTATATATTCTAGATAGTAGTCCTTTGCAGAACTGGCAAAAAAATTTTCCCACACTGTGGGTTATCTCTTCACTCTGTTGGTGGTTTCTTTTGCTATGTAAAAGCTTTTTTAAAAGATGAGATACCAGTTGATGATTCTGTGTAATATTTCTCTTGTGGTCTGGGTTTTGTTGATAGTCTTTGCCTACCCCAATGTCTTTAAGATTTCTAACTATTTTATCTTCTAGCAGATTTAGTGTTTAATATTTAGACCTTTGATCCATTTTTATTTTCGTGCATAGTGAAATATATGGCTCTAGTTTTAATCTTTTGCATGTGTAAGGCCAAGTTTTCCAGTACTATTAAAGAGCCTGTCTTTCTTCCAGTGAACGTGTTCAGCACCTTTGATAAGGTTGCTAAGTATGTCTGAAGTTGTTTCTGAATCTTTGAATTTATTCCCAAATAGAATTTATCAATTCTTTTGGTTCTCAGGTCTATTTTTTTCCCCAGTACCACATTGTTTTTATCATAGTAGCTTTGTAATATAATTTCTAGTCAGGTACTATGAGATCCCCTGCATTTCCTTGATTGCCAAGAATTGCTTTTGGTATTACAGGTCTCTTCCAGGTCCAAATGAATTTTAGGATTGCTTTCTATATTTCTGTGAGATACACTGTTGGTATCTTGAACGGGATTGCAATAAATCTGTATAGAGTTTTGGAAGTATGGAGATTTTCACTCTATAGGTTCTTTTTACCCAAGAACAAGAGTTATCTTATCATTTTCTTTCTTTTTTTGGGGGGGGGTGGTACCAAGGATTGAACTCAGGACCTTGCACTTGCCAGGCAGGTGCTTATTCTACTGAGCTATCTCCCCAGCTCTACCCTTCCATTTTCTGATATCCTCTTCAATTTCTTTTTATCATAGTACTGTTGTTTTCTATGTAGAGGTCTTTTCCTTCCTTTATCAGATCCCTAGGTATTTCATTTTTGGGGGTATGCTACTGTAAAGTGCTATTTCCCTAATTTTTCTCTTAGTGAGTCTGTTATTCATGTACAGGAAGGCTACTGATTTTTGAGTGTTCACTTTGTATCAAGCTATGTGACTAATGTTAAATTTAAAAGACTTTTGGTGGAGTTTCTGGGGTCTTCTATGTAGACTATCATGTCATCTGCAAATAATGATAATTTGACTTCTTTCCTATCATTATTCCTTTTGTTTCTCTTTTTAAGTGCTCTGGTTTATGTTTCCACAACTATACTGAATAAAACTGGTGACAGTGGACATCCTTGTGTTGTTCCTTATTTCAGAGGGAAAGCTTTCAGTTTTTGTCCATTTAGTGCGATGTTGGTTATTAAATAAGGTCTTTTTAATACTAACAGCCAAATGAAGTATGAAAAAGACAGCTAAGACTGGCCTTGATTAGATTCAAGTCTTGTTGCTCTGGGCCCAAAGGTCTCCTGATTGCTTTAAAACTGAGAAACAAAAACAAAACAAAAAAAAAAAAAAAAATGGATTCACCTTGACTAGAGTTTCTGTCTTGAGAATAACTTGAAACCTCAAGGTGTAGATTTCTACAAAAGACTTTGGCTTTAGTTGAACAGGGGTGGTGGATTAATATGGATTTTTATTTCACAAAATGCTCAAGCAGTATAACTATTATTTCATAACATTCTATTTCAGCCAACTTTTTTTTAATACTTTTTTGGGGGTATTTTTAGGGAAAGGTGTACAGGGTGTTCAGTGTCTCACTACTGGATTGGACTCGTAGTGATCCGCCTGTTTATAGCTTCCCAAGAGCTTAAGCCAACTTTTTAAACTGACAATTCCAAGCTTTGATAATGTCTGTTAAGACAACTGCTTCTGTTCAATTACTTTTTTTTTTGGTATGAGAAATTGAACTCATGACCTTGCGCTTGCCAGGCAGGCAAAGTGCCACTGAGCTGTATTTCTGGATCCTACTTGTTCAATATATGTAAGAACTCTGTTAAAAGACTGATAGCACAGGCAGAATATGATTCTAAAGATAAGCAATAATTACATATTACATCCCTACAGATTTATATCTGTATTTATAAATGTAAATTTCTTTTTTTGTTAGTATAGTACATGTTTGTGATACATAATGAATACATTCATCATGGGGTATTGGCACATACGCATGTTGCACTGGGGTATCAGGGTCTCCCTATGTATTTCAGTTTGGTCTTAATTCACTATGTAGCACAGGATGGCGTCCTGCCTCTCAGAAAGGTCTACAAACTTTTCTCCTATCATTTACCTTTTATTTTGCTCTTTATGTTTTGGGTTGCTCATACAAGGGAAACCATACAATACATAAATGTAAACTTCCTAAGAAAAAAATTTACTAGGATCACAAATTTTTTTTGGCAAAGGTAATGGGATTAATTTGCATTGTCTGAAAATCTTAAGTGAATGTATTTATGAAACAGTATAATTTTCAAATTTTTTCATTCTAATAAAACACTGCTTAACATTGGAGATTAGAATACAGAAAATGACTAAAAACACAACAAACACAAGTGCCTCTCTCTGTTGGTTTCCCACATTCTAACTGAAGAAGCAGCTCAATCATACACATCTATGAGAAGACAGCCTGAGCAGCTTCAGGCAGGTAGAAAGGATGACACCACAACTGATATCTTTCCTCTGAAAAGAAATGTGGCTCTCATTTCAGCATTATGGAGTGTCAATACCATACACAGTGGATTTCACCACTGCCTTCAAAACCTTTAAGGCTCTAAGCAAACACAGTGAATGCCATCAGGGATGCAACACCTGAGTATAGGCATGTTACAGGAAGTTCAATGACTCCTCATTCCAAAGCAGCTACAACTCC